GAAGACCTTATTCCATCACCCACAGATATAAACCCACATTTAATCCCAACCAAGGTCACACAGAACATATGCTTATAGGATCAAAGCTGTACTTCACTTACTCAGTATCTGGTGATTACTTAAGACATGTCAGGTATTATATGGGTACTGGAGTTACAGAGACAAATAAACAACAGAGACCAATAAGGCAAGGTCTCTGTATTTGAGGGGCTCCCAACTCAATAGAAAAGACATAGGAACATAATACAAGAAACAAATTATACAAAGTTTAGAAAAATTGTGGTATAGATTGCCTAAGTGGTAGATTCTCTTTTGCTTCTAAGTCATTCTGGTAGGGCTCTTCTAGCCAAGTCCAGTTTATCAGTCCACATAGATTCGTGTCACCATACTGTCTACCCAAGTGAAAAGATGAGAACAGAATTATCATTCTTGAGTGCTTTGGTCATTGGGATGTAGAATGGTGTTAATTAGATGGACAGGGTTAATAATCACTAATTTCATCACGACCATTATTTAACATGAGTCTCAGGAGTTTAAATGTTGTTTGATGTTTTAGATTTAAGAGTTAGACAACCCTTGGGGCACCTGGGTGGCTTAGTTGGTTAAACATCCACCTTCTTCTCAGGCCATGATCTCACAGTTCGTGGGTTTAAGCTCCATGTTGGGCTCTGTGCTGACAGTGTGGAGCCTGCTTGGAGTTCTCACCCTCTCTCTCTACCCCTACCCTGCTCTCTCTCTCACACACACACTCTCTTTCTCTCTCCCTCAAAATAAATAAACTTAGAAAAAAGAAAAGAAAAAGGCAGACAATTTCTCAGGAATGCCTTTTCTTAGGGTAAATAGAGGCTTGTTTGGTAGCTTCAGGTATCTTTAGTTTTTCACAACAGTAATTTATATGATGAAGCTGCACAGTACACCAAAGCATTTCTCGTGTGTGTGTGTGTGTGTGTGTGTGTGTGTAGACGGTGCTGATTGAGAAGGCTAAATAAATCTTGGATCACATATATTTTTAATCTTTATTTAGTTTTAGAGAGGGGAGAGGGGCAGAAAGAGAGGGAGAGAGAATCCCAAGCAGGCTCTACGCTTAGCGAGGAATCTACTGGAGGGTTCGATCCCATGAACTGTGAGATTGTGACCTGAGCTGATATCAAGAGTCGAACTTGTTTTTGTTGTTTTTTACATTTATTTGAGAGACAGAGTAAGACAGAGTGTGAGTGGAGGAGGGGCAGAGAGAGGGAGACACAGGATCTGAAGCAGGCTCCAGGCTCTGAGCTGTCAGCACAGAGCCTAGTTGGGGCTCCAACCCATGAACCGTGAGATCATGACCTGAGCCAAACTCGGACACTTAACCGGCTGAGCCACCCAGGCGTCCCAAGAGTCGAATGTTTAACAGACTGAGCCACCCAGGCGCCCCTTGAATCATATTTTTAATTTTGATGAAACTGCTTTTAATTGGAAGCAAATGCCCTCCAGGACCTATATGTTACAAGAAGGAAGTCCATATCCCAGGGTTAGAGGTTCGAAAGAAATGCTCTATAATAGAAATATGAGATACATATGCAATTTTAAGTTTTCTAGTAGCCATATTCTTAAAAAGCAGAGTAAAAAGAAACAGGTAAAATATTTCAACATATAATCAACGTAAAAACTATTAATGAGCTATTTTACATTTTTTTTTCAAACTAAGTCTTTGAAATCTGCTGTATATTTTACATTTACAGCACATCACGATTTAGATTAGCACATTTAAATGCCCAAGAGCTACACATGGCTAATGGATACCATATTGGGCAGCATAGCTTTAAAGGATGACTGTGAGGTTGAATACAAAGTCCAAAGAAATTTAATTGGTATTTTTTTTTTATTAGCATAGTAACTTTTATTGTCCTCAAGTAACAAAGTTGCATAAGTTTTGAGGGTCTGCTCCTAAACCTATATTTTCCTCTCAGCTATGGGTAGTCATATGATACAGTTCTGAGCAATATAAAGGGAAGTCTGTTAAGTCATATGGGAAAATTTTTCACCCTGGTAAGAGAGAGGCCACAAGGAGAAAGCTTACCTACAGCCCCCCCCCCCACCTCCTCGCCCCCGCCCACCCTCCTGTTTGGAACATTTGATAGAAGAACATGGTGTCTGAAACTATGGCAGCCATGTTGTGACTATGATAGACTAATCTTTACTATGTTGAGGATGGCAGAACAGAAAGGCATCTTTTCTTATCAAAAATGCGATGAGGCAGCTAGCCATGCAAATACCAGGGTGGGAGGGAGGCCAGAGCAGAGTCGCCTAGCAGAAGTAAGGGTGCTTTAGCAGAGAAGATGTCTTCAATGGGTATTGCTTAATATTCACAACTGAAGTTCACTCTTTTTTCTTCCATTCCCAACCCCCTCCCTTGCTAATGATTTCCTTCTGTCTGATGAGGACATTCTTGTAGGTATGACAAGAGTGCGAAAATTATTCCCAACACTGAAGCATATAGTTAGAAGCAGAAGCAAAATTTCCTTGAAGTCCCTTATTTTATCATTAAGGTTTCATGCACAAACACTGCAATTTGGCTATTAGATATGTGTTTAACACTTCAAAAAATGCTTAAGGTTTTCAATCCTGAAAAAAAATTTTCTGTCACTCAGTTAATAAGATCATATTCGTTTGATTCAACCAATTTTGAGTAATTGGTAGTGCATACCAGATTCATTGTTCATCAATTTCTTATTTGTCTTGGGGGTCACAATAATTCATGAACCCAGATTCACATAAATATGTGGATAAAAATGACAACAGTTTTTTCACTGCTTTATAGTGTCAGGGTAGTTACAGGACACGGTGTCCAGAATGCTGCTAAAAATAAAAAAACAATTGTATGGGTAGCTTTTTCAGCTGCTGATTCTGGAAATTTCGGTAAGTGCATTTCTTGAGTCATGTGACAGACTAAATGGGTAACCAATCCACTTGTGACTTTCTTTTACTCATCAAAGGATTTTTTTTTTCAGGGAACAAAGATGAAGCTTTATTTGACCACTTACCAGTCTTACACTAACATTTTTATTACTTGTAAATGAAGTAGGAGGCTCAAAGGATTCACAGTTCTTTATCAACTTTTCATCCAATTCCCATACTTAATTTTCATTAGAGCCATCTCATCTAGTGCAATAAAAGTATTCAGTTTGTTTTACAGTTGTTGATTGCCTTGACAAAGTAAGCCAGCCGTCTTTATGAGTCAGTCTTAATCATTAAGGTGAACAAAGAATCAATTCACCTTATCTACATTTCTTTTCCTTCATGAAGAAAATGTCAATTCAATCCTGGCTTCGAAAACTGGTTATCACCTTCCTCAACCAAGCAAGTGTACTTTAGATAACAGAGCAGGATTTTAAAGTCACTTCTGACTTTGGTACAGATTTGCTTTAAAAAGTAGGGTATCCAAACTAAAAGATTTACTAAATTTACTATGATTTTGAACTTAGTAAGAAAAATCCAGGGGCTAATTTTTTAAGGTGAAGGTTGCTGTAACCTAGCCAAAGCCTTCAAAATTTGGCTGCTCCTGCACACACGCCCATACGTTTTTCTCTACTTAATTTCATGCTACATAAAAAAATCAGACTTTCCTCTCTAGAGATTTTCTTCTGTCCCAAATCCAAGTCTTCAAATTCCTCACTTAAAACTTAACAAATAGAGTGCAATAAAGTTGCCAAATTACTAACATCTATGTTTTTATATAGTTTAAGATTCAGGTTTAGCTCAATCTACCAGCTATTTAAGTTTGCTTCTGAGCACATTAAAATGCATCATTAGAAATTCTCCCATAAAGATACTTTAAACAAAAATCAGCTTGCCTGCCTTTTTGGGTTTGTTTTCAAACAGATCCAGTCATTATCTGTAACATTAAGTTCCACCAGGTCTTCTCATTTTCTAAATATCAGAAACTTCTAAACCATCTGAAACGGATTTCGAAGGGAACTTAAAACCACCTTTTAAAATTTGCTTATTGGCTTGTGCTTTTGATGGCTTTTGCTTCTAGAGTTACCTCTCTTTTTGGTTTCAAAATTTGCATGGCTGCCTTTTTGACTTTGCTTCAAAAGTCAGTCTTAATCCTGAAGCATTGATCGAGATGACAGCCCTGGGGGTAGGCTTATTTGCATCTTTTCCATAACAGAGTCCACATTTTAAATCTGTACCTAAATACGGCCTGAGCTTTTGGGTTTACTGTTGCTGCTTGTCACTTCACAGTAATGGTGAGAGTGCTGCTGTCCCCTTCGTCCTGCTCATTATAAAGCTCTTCCACGACACAGGCCTGACAAGGCAAAGATTTCTGAATATTCAGGGTTTTCATTACCGTTCGTATTTTCGCTAGTTTCGGACTTACACTTAAAATGTCCTGTTCTTAACTTCCAGGCCGCCTTCCTGACTGAAACCACGACTTTCATTACGAATTACATATCAAGACTGGAAACGCCGGCGCCCAAGAAGCGGGACGGAGCGGTCGCCCGAGTGGGTAAACAAACGCCGCGCAGGCGCACTGACAGGAGGGTCAACCGGCGGCTCGGTGGCCGGTGGGGGATTTTTCGTACAGTGAAAAGTGGAAAAGCAAAACAAAACGCTGTCTCTTAAGGTGGTAAGCTGGTTGGCGTTTTCTACTTCTATTTATTTCTGACTTCTGTTCCTAAGGAACTGGCGCGGCCTTCGGGGCCTTGCAGAGAAGTCCGTAGATTCCCTCGACCCCCGCGAACTGCCGCCAGCGTGCCAGCTAGTTACTCCAGCCTCATTTGTTCTCGCCGCTGGATCCTGATCTTCTGCATACAGCACTAATCCACCCGGGTTGGGAGGGTTTGAAAAAAACAAAACCACCTCACAACTCTAAAAAAATTTGCTACTCTGGGCCCGGGAGTGAAGGGGGGGGGGGGGGAGACGGCTTCCCCAAACCTCGCGAGATCTACCCGAGAGTAGAGCGGAACCTCCAAGGGCATGATTGCGCATGCGCCTGACTAATCCTTTTTCGCGGGAACGAGCTTTGAAACTTTGAGACTTCCTGCGGGATATTAGTAAACCACATTTGAGCCTCCAGAAGGCCCGAGGGAGTCGAGCACCCAACACTACGTTCTTTGAGCTTTTGCAGTCATCACTCTGTATGACTGAGTGGCCGTCCCTTCTTTCCCGTATTATCTGTTGGCCGTGAATTCTGTGTGAGAGGAGGGTTTCGGCGAATCCAGTAGTCGAGGAGTGGGCGTGGGAGAGCGGATCAAGGTTTTAAAGTAAGGATGACTTTTATGTGTTTGGAAAGGTAACTCGGGGAGCGACTTAAAGGAATAAATCTGAGGGAGCCAGATTTTTTTTTTTTTTTTAAACTGGAGCCCATGGGAGACTGCTGAACTGAGGTAATGCAGTGGGGAGGAGAAGATGGGAAAATTTGCGAGGGAAATGAAGGCAGAACTATGCAGCACACGCGAGAGGTGAGACTAGAAAGACAGGACTGTTGGCAAGTAGAGTTTTCCCTAAAACAGTGGGAAGCTGTGCGTGTTTGTAAACAGGCAGAAATGGTGAGGCCGTGATTTGTAAGGTGACAACTGGGAAGTCCCTAAATGAGCGGAACAAGGAGGATTCTAAAAGCCATGAACAAGGGCTGAGGTTAGGATTAGAAAGCACAGTTAAGGTAACAGTTAAGGAGTCAGGAATTTGGGAACTATCTTGACAGAACTGACGACTCTTACCTGTTTCTCAGGCTACATGGGATGCCTGCACAAGCACTGGATTTTGTCCTGCAACATCTGAAAGCTACCACGCAGAGTGCTCTCCCTCCCAGTAAGTCCCCTGGTCCCTCCCACCTCCCACCCACCCTGTATGTCAGCCCGGATGCAATGTGGATTTCATGGAGTGAAATCGTGGAACGTACAGCACGTCCCTTAGACATACCTCTGGTGCATTACAGAAATATATACTTCTAGCTCTAGTTACCCAGCTCTCTGTGTATTAGACTCCATCTTGATATTGGCAGCAGTCTTACGCAGCTCAGCCTCTATATTTTGATTTTTTGTGCACTGTGTGGAGTCCAAGGCAGAGGAGCAATGGGGTACCTAATTTCACTGGACCACCAAAGGAATGGTTTGTAGGTAGGCAGTATAGCTCCATCTTTAAGAAAAACTAAATCCAGCAAGCCACAGGATTTAAGTTGCCAGTGATGGAGAAAGGATGCAGGTCTTAATTAGAGAATGGAAGCACTTCAATAAAGACCCAGACATAGTAGACCCCTGTCAAGGAGTTCTCCACTGGAGCACTTCACTTCATTTTGGCAGCCTAAAGTATAACCTCGTAGCTGGGCTGTATGTGTGCAATTCATGGAAAAATGTTCCAGAGAAAATTCTCAGATGCAAAAGAATAGGATTTCTAGGATAAGGCCTGGGTGTCTTTTAGGGAGTGGGATTATCCAGCTGAAGGAAGCATTGACATCCCAGTATGGTGTCACAGAAGGTGTGTGGAATTGGAAATCGGACCTGGGGTTTGCCTTGGTCAGTTATACCAGTTATTCTTTGCGACCTCCCTGTGCCTCAGTTTCCCAATTTGTAAAATAAAGGTAACTGCCTACCTCATAGGATGATTGTAAAGATGAAATGAGGTACTGTGGAGATAGCTGCCTGGATTAATTCTTGGAACATATGTAATTTATGATCATCAAATGAAAGTTTCTTCCCTGAGCCTCCCGCATTTATGCATGCCATCTACCCTTCAAATATGGAAGCCCTATGTAGCACTGGGCCATCTGTATTTAAGACAGGCTCTCTATGTTGCTTTCACATTAGAATCATCTGGGGAGGTTTAAAAAATGCCGAGGCTTCACTCGAGACCAATTATAAATCAGAATCTCTGGTAGTGGAGCCTGGACATCAGTCTTTTTTAAAGCTCTTTATTTTGCTACTAAAGTTAAGAACCACTGCTTTAAGGGGTGCCTGGATGGCTCAGTCAGTTGGGCGTGTGACTTCGGCTCAGGTCATGATCTCACGGTTCGTGGGTCGAGCCCTGCGTTGGGCCCTGTGCTGGAGGTCCAGGCTTGGAGCCTGGAGCCTGTATCAGATTCTGTGTCTCCTTCTCTCTCTCTCTCTGTCCCTCCCCCACTTGCACGCTGTCTGTCTCTCTCAAAAATAAATAAACAGTAAAAAAAATTAAAAAAATAAAAGAACCACTGCTTTAAAAGTTCCCTCTAGAAGAAGAAGAAAATTAGACTTGTGGTTTAAGACTACCTATCTGTATAGTTATATATTTGAAATAGAAGAATAAAGCCTAGAGCTTGTGATGGGCAAACGAGTAGGGCCTGGTAAGCTATATTCAGGAAAGAGGAAACTATGATAAGAGTATGGTAAGCATCCTGATTGGGGGAAAGGTAAGTGATGAGGTCAATAATATAGGCCCCAGGAATATATGGGCCTGGCTGTAGAGATAGAGGATTTGAGTCTCCCAAGTTGATGTTTTGATTTAGCACAGGCAACGCAGATGGTGATGTCTTTATTGCTTTACCGTGTGGTGAATCTTGGGCTGATGTCTGTAGTGGGGTGGGGTTACGTTTTACACCTGGCTCTGCTCCATTGGTTGGGGAGGGGCATCAGGGCCTCCCTGAAGTGTGTGATGTGAAGGTGCATGTGGGGAAGTATGTGCAGCAGGCCATTGGGCGTGAATCCTATCAGGGTTGTGGCTGTTTTGACTACACAGGTAGTTTTGTTGGTACTAACAGAAGACAAAGGTGAGATGTAAGCCTATTTTTGTAGCCTTTCAGTGAATAGAGAGTCACTTGGAACAGGAGGGATGGCATGTCTGGGTCAGGAATTTGAGCTCCTAAGAGATAAGTGACTTTCTGGTAGGACAACTCTAGTTTCTGGGGACATAAGTGATTCAGAAGTTGAAACCACCTGATTGCTTCAGTCTTTGGATGCCTAAATCCAAATGTAGCAGTAATGGCCAGGAATATCTTCTGCCACATAAAGACAGGTTTAATTGGGGCCCTTTTCTTGAGAAGCACATTCGTTTGTCTAGACGTTCACAAGAGCGAGGGGGAGATGACTCAACATTATTGGCTGGGTAAGGAGACAAGGGATTCAGAGACCCTCCAGGGGTTGACAGAGGTTATAAAGTGGGAGAGTAGCAGAATATGCAGAAGTGAGGAGTGGAATGGGGTAGGAGGCTAGGGAACTCGGGTTAAGAAGGGAAGCGTGTTGGAAGTTAGAGAAATCCCAAGCAGTGACAGTTTAGTCCATCTGTTATAAAAATATGTGAAGGGGCACCTGGGTGGTCAGTTGGTTAAGCGTCCAACTTCGGCTTAGGTCATGATCTCATAGTTTGTGGGTTTGAGCCCTGCATCAGGCACTGTGCTAACAGCTCAGAGCCTAGAACCTGCTTCACATTCTGTGTCTTCCTTTCTCTCTGCCCCTCCCCCCACTGATGCTCTGTCTCTGTCTCTCAAAAATAAATAAACTGTAAAAATAGTTTTTTTTAATAGGTGAAAATAGAAGTGTTGCCTGAGATTCAAATGCAAGAAATACCACAGACAGACCTCCGCAATTTATAGGAGGGTGAGAATGGATTAGACTACTCGGGAATAGTGACCCATATCAAGGGTATAAAAAGGCAAGATGGTGACAGGAAAGGGGTTTCAAAGAGGATATTTGAGTGAAGTTCTTGGAATGCTGTTAGATAAACAGGTCAGGGAGAGAGAGGTGGCACACTCTTTCCCAAATTGTAAGCTTCCCTATCGATAGTACTCACAAACAGGGAGGAAGGGGAAGGCCTCTCTTTAAATTAGGTGGCAAATTGTGACTAATGTACAGGCCTGGATATTTTAATTGCTATTCTTACCTAAAAGTGACCAGAAAAAGGAATGGGACGGCCCAAGTTTTCTTTGGGGGTTGGAAGAAGGACCAGCCCCTGCACAGTGTTTTCACACAGACAGTGGAGAATAAAAATTAAGTTGCCTTAAATTAGTTCCCAAAAGTTATGTTTGTTCAATGTGCTGGAACACACACTGTTGAGCACCTACTTTGTTCTTTTATTTTTTTTAAATTTATTTAAATCCAAGTTAGTTAACATCCAGTGTAATAATAGCTTCAGGAGTAGAATTTAGTGATTCATCACTTACCTATAACAGCCAGTGCTCATCCCAACAAGAGCCCTTCTTAATGCCCATCACTCATTTAGCCCATCACTCTACCCAATACCCATCCAGCAACCCTCAGTTTGTTCTCTGTATTTAAGAGTCTCTTATGGTTTGCCTCCCTCTCTGTTTTTATCTTATTTTTCCTTCCCTTTCCCTATATTCATCTGTTTTGTTTCTTAAATTCCACATGAGTGAAATTTGTCTTTCCCTGACTGACTTATTTCACTTAGTATGATACATTCGGGTATCATCCATGTTGTTGCAAATGGCAAGATTTCATTCTTTTTGGTCTCCGAGTAATATATACCACATCTTCTTTATCCAGTCATCAGTCAATGGACATTTGGGCTCTTCCCATACCTTAGCTATTATCAGTAGTGCTGCTATAAACATTGGGGTGTATGTGCCCCTTCAGATCTGCATTTTTTTATGTCTTTTGGATAAATACCCAGTAGTGCAATTGCTGGGTCATAGAGTAGCTCTATTTTTAATTTTTTGAGGAGTCTTCATGCTGTTTTCCAGAGTCACTACACCAGTTTACGTTCCCACCAACGGTGTAAAAGTTTTCCCTTTTCTCCATATCCTCACCAATATTTGTTGTTTCCTGAGTTGTTAATTTAGCCATTCTGACAGGTGTGAGGTGGTATCTCATTGTGGTTTTGATTTGTATTTCCCTGATGATGAGACTGATGTTGAGCATCTTTTCATATGTCTGTTAGCCATCTGGATGTCTTCTTTGGAAAAGTGTCTGTTTATGCCTTTTGCCCATTTGTTCACTGGATTATTTGTTTTTTGGGTGTTGAGTTTGATAAGTTCTTATAGATTTTGGGTACTAACCATTTGTCTGACATGTCATTTGTAAAATCTTCTCCCATTCCATCAATTGCCTTTTAGTTTTGTTGATTGTTTCCTTTTCTGTGTAGATGCTTTTATATTGATGAGGTCCCAGATAGTTCATTTTTGCTTTTGTTTCCCTTGCGTCCAGAGTCATGTCCAGTAAGAAGATGCTGTGGCCGAGGTCAAAGTGGCTGTTGCCTGTTTAAACTCAAGAATTGTGATGCCTCCAGCTTGGTTTTCTTTTTCAACATTACTTTGGCTAGTCAGCCTCTTTTGTTCCATACAAGTTTTAGGATTGTTTGTTCTAGCCCTGTAAAGAATGCTGGTGCTTTTTTGATAGGGACTGCATTGAATGTGCACATTGCTTTGGGTAGTGTAGACATTTTAACATTTGTTTCTCCAATCCATGAGCATGGAATGAATTTCCATTTCTTTGTGTGTTCTTCAGTTTCTTTTATAAACTTTCTATGGTTTTGAGCATGCAGATATTTTACCTCTTTGGTTAGGTTTATTCCTAGGTGTTTTATGGTTCTTGGTGCAGTTGTAAATGGGATCTCTTTCTTGATATCTCTTTCTGTTGCTTCATTATTGGTTATAGAAATGCAACCGATTTCTTTACATAGATTTTACATCCTGCAACTTTGCTGAATTCATGTATCAATTCTAGCAGTTTTTTTGGTGAAGTCTTTTGGGTTTTCATGTAGAGTATCATGTCATCTGCGAGCAGTGAAAGTTTGACTTCTTTTTTGCCAATTTATTTTGTTTTGTTGTCTGATTGCTTAAGCTAGGACTTCCAACGCTATGTTAAACAACAGTGGTGAGAGTG